CAAGTATGTTTTATCAGTAAAGGGATTAGGGTCTTTTTGCATGAAGACGAAGCATATTGCTAGCATGTGGTTGTAGCAAGAAGGATGGTAATCCTCAGTCACCATGGAGCAACAGAGGGCTAGCTGTTCCGCCAGGGTGAAAAGAGCCTCTTCGCATTTGTGCGTGTGTGTGTACGGGAAGGAGATTGTGCATGTGTCAAAAGCATGTGGTCCCAGAGTCGGCAAAGACCCCTCCGTAAATCCAGAGTAAATAAAAGGGGTAACCAGACGGACAAAAGAGAAGCCCCCACTGCTTCCCTCATTCGTTGCCATTTGGGGGGACTGAATGTGCTAAACGCCGCTTATGTTGGCTGAAAAGTTGAAGAGAAAAAGAGGGAAAAGGGAGGCTCTAAATCCCCCTTCTTCTTTTCTCCTCATTCTCCACGGCCAAGCCTGCAGGGATGGAGGTGGTGTAATAGGAGGGTGGAGGGACGGGTCAGAATACTGTGCTAAGGTAGAGAATTCAAAATAGCTCTTATAGCCTCTGCTTCTCCATCTTACTCGTGTTTTGCTCTAGCTATCTTTGTGAATTTTCTCTTCTTGATTGGCTGAACGTGCCTGACTAGTCTGGTCTGACTAGGGTCATGGCTGAAGAGGTGTTATAATTAGTAACTTTAGCAGCAGATTTAGTAAGCCGTCGCTTGTACACTTTGGCTTCACTACATTGGAGCAGTGAGCTTTTTAAGTATAACATAAAAAAAAAAAAACATAAACAATATCTATCCAGCAGGTTTTCCAACTTCAAACTACCAACTTTGTAAAGCTCTGATCTGTGAAAGAATAACAAGGCGCAATTTTATGCTTTCTGGATGTTTCGAAAATCGAGCTTTCATAAAAATGAAATGAAACAATTACTTCTCGCAAGAAGGGGGACTGTCCCTTTATGCACCACTAAAGTCTATAAGTACAGTGAAATCCTACAGATTATGTAACAGAGCCACCTGTACAAATACAACCAAAGTAAAAAAAAAAAAAAAATACAGTGCAGGTCATTGACTGCCTTATGAGACACACGATACCTTACTGATTTAGCCTTTTTTTCCACAACACAGTATAAAGTTGTGCACCACATATCAATATAGATTTTTCTAAAATAACCTCCAGAATAAATAACATTTGTTATTTACTGTTGTGATAGGTTGTTACATTGTTCATTATTTATTCTACTTAATAATGACTCTTAAGAAGCTTTTCTATCATAACAATCAATAATTCTGTACACTGGGCTCACAATCTGTGTGAGAGAGAGGAGACGGTATTATTAAGCTCTGCAGTTAAACAGGTGGGGCAAATAGAGTCTTATTTTAAGTGAGATTTCCAAAGTCCTGCAGATGTTCTATGTCGGATAGAGTTGGACTCTTCAGAAGGATGAAGTTCTTCAACTTTGCTGTAAAGTTTGAAGGTTTCTGTTATTCGCTGTCCTCCCTGTTGAAGATTATTGTCGGGTCTTTGCTCCCTCTGACTCCATGTTCAGAAGACCTCACCGATACTGAAATGCCTAACTTTTTTTGTTTTCTCCCCTCACTACCAACTTCTGCAGCCAAAATTGTTTGTCAGCAGATGACTCGTTCATTGACAGGAAGTAGGAATTCCCAACCAGGTTGATTGTAAATTCGCCAGCCAGCTCCCCAACGGACCTCGAGTTTCTTCATTGCTAACCATAGCTAAGTTTAAGTGTGGTTTTCATGGGTGGTAATATTTCTTACTTGTGGTCATATGCACAATATTTCTATGGTTAACCTAACCATGGCGGCTTCCCCGGTGGGACGTTACCTCCTGAACATGAAACATTGGCTCTGGTGCCATTACAGCCTCCCAGAAGTCCCCCGTATAGTCTCGGCGAAGACCGTGGGACGCTTTGTACTCTGCTTATTTTATTTATTTATTTTTTTTGCACAACATTTCCTAAAGGGACCTCGAACGTACCAACATTAGATAAGCAGAGTTGCAATGTGTTTACAGTCCTTTCTCAGCCCGATAATGAGCTCAGCCCTGAGACCAATTTACTCACAAGGAGATATATCTGAATGCATTTTTAATAACCACCCACTGGTGATGAGAGAGGGAATGTATGTGAGCGTATAATGTGCTCTTGGACTTGGGCTTGTTTGTTTGCCAGCGTGCTCATTCATTCTCTCTTACCCTCATTGCGTCCGGTCATTGTCTTCCGTGTTTGCCTGATTACACTTTCGCAGTCCCTGCGCGTATGAAAATATGCAAAGAAACTTTCATTGCAAACACTTTAAGTCAAGCTCTTGATGGAGTGAGGGAGAAGGAGGAAGGAGAAAAGGTTGAGGGGAAGAAAGAGAAGAGGGGAAAGTGGGTGGGTGGGGGTGTACTGCTATCTTTTTTTTTTTTTTTTCTCGTCTCCAAGGGCGCTGCTTTTCCAAAAGTGCCTGGGGCTACACTCCAGCACCTCGGCTCCCTTAGGCCTTTCGACTGCCTCCTAATAGCCAACCCCCATCTGTGTCACATGGCCAGATGATGGGACGCTTCCCTCTGCTCTGCCCTGTACTTTTTTTTTTTTTCCTTACCCAATTTTTTTTTTTTTCTCAGAGTGCACATCCACGCAGGTTAGAATGGCAGAGTTGCCAGGGAACAGTCAGAAGCCATTAGCGTTTGGGACAATTTGCCCTGCAGCGTTCCTTCTCTCGCTCATAAGAAAGGAGTGGGGGTGGATGCAAAGCACCAGCTCTCCTTCAGATGTAATGAGGTTGAGCAAGTTGGATCTTCTTTATTCTATTTCTACTCCTCCTTTATTCTTCATGCTTCTCCTTTTTTTCTTTTCCCCTTTGTTTCTTTCTCTTTTCTTATTTTCTGTCCACACTTTGTTCTTCTTTATTCTTGCGACGAAGTAAAAAGTGTCGGTGCATAAACAGATTCAAAGACAGCCATTGAAGTTGTACACAGACTTGCCGCTGTAGAAGTCGGATCTGTAGACACACTCCAATATCGGTGTAAGACGGAGAGGGGCAGAAACGCAGGGGGAGTCTGGTTTCATCCTCGTGGGCTAGAGCAGGAGGCAGCAAGCATGCTGGGTAATGAAGTGACAGGTCAGTCTGTAAATACGCACGGGTCGCACCGGCCCTGGCCAGGGGGAAGGCTATCACATTGCAGTGAAAATGGAAACGTCAATAAAATTAATCTGCCAGCCTTTTGGCCACTGTGCGGCTCTATTGGATGAGCCTGACTGCTCACAGCGGGAGAGGGATTTGGAGAGTAGCTCAAAAATCAACACAAAACCCGGTGCCGTACAAACAAACACCGAACGGAGCATAAACATTATTCAGCGAAGCTCAAAAGCAAAGAAACAAAGGCGGGGTGGTTGAAATTCACAGCTCACTGGTTGTGTTTTTATTGTAAGTTTCGGAGCAAACTGGGGGAGTTGGACTCAGCTTCCGTCTGGGTCGCATTTCTCAGGAAGCCCCTCACAGTCAGGGTAGGGACCAACGTTTATTGTTTTAGGCTTTCCTGAACAAGGATTCGTACTTAGCCTGGGATTTATAGCATTTGCCGCTAATGAATGCCCATTCTACAATTACAACACCCCTCGTCTGTGTCCCCATTCCCATATGTCCTTCAGGAGGGTGGTTGCTTCTTTAGCTTCTCGTCGGCACTTCTTTGTTTATCTGTTCCTTGTGGCTCCAAGCCAGTGATGTGCAAAGAAAAACACAGCACTGACTGAGAAGTGGAAGGAGTTGGGGAAAACATAAGGAAAGACAAAAAAGTTTTTAAGAAGTGCAGGCCCCTGCTGGCCTTGTGTTCTTCATTTATTTTGCATTTGATTACACCACCAGTCGGATCCTTTTTCTTTTCCCCCTTTTTAATGTTATTAGCTGAAATATTTATGTGAGATTAAGGCTTGTATAGGTGGCTGTGATTGATGCCTCGCCAAAAACAGGAGGACATGTGCGTCTGAATTTTGAGAATGTCAGGGTCCTTCGCTTCCTTAGTGGAGGAGTTTTTCAGATACATAATTTAGATGCCCTCAAGGAAGGCTTTCAAGGCATTCGTGCCCGGGGGCAAGAAAAAAATAACCATGACTGTTAAAAGTAAATCATTTTTGCTAATGCACAATTAATGCCAGGGTAGAGGAACAAGAAAAAGGCAAGGGACAAAGATGGAAACTTAAGTTTGAAGGAGGCGTGTGTCCATGTTTTTGCCAAGAAATCAAACGCTGATGGACATTAATGCAGGCATAGCCGGCACTGGCCTGTCATGCTAATCTCATGGCTAGATTGGAGGGAAAGAGGGGGGAGTTTTGGGGTGGGGAGGGGGGGAAGAATAGGATGAGTCCATTATGTGCATCGAACTGCAACAATGAACCCCCTCAAATCACGAATCAGTGCTCACGCAGATCAACTGGATGCTGTAAATTCATGAATCCTTTTCTTTTTTCTATTTTTTTTTTTTACTGTACACATCTGCATAACTCCATTCTGTCCCCTTTGGCTCTCTTCAAAGGATGGGGAAAAAAAATGCTCTGTGTTAAGTCAAGCATGCAAATTTAATTGAATTAATGACATGAGTCCTAGTCTCCACTGTATTTGAAAGCTCCTTGTTCATTTCTTTTTATTTCCCCTTCCTACTAGAGAAGTGGGATGAAGAACACAAAGTTTCAGTGCCCAACCATAACATTTGAGCCATTAACCCTCATTCCCCTGTCTCGTGCTCTGGGGTATGGAGCAGCTCTGTGTAAACCCTGCAGCCTCCATGCAGGCCTTCATCTAAGGCCATCCTAATCCGCCTACCGCCTTACCTTCACAACACAACACCAGCTTTGCTTGCACCAAATCTTTCAGCCTTAGCGCACCAGTTTTGAATTCCAATCTGTGGTATTTGTCCGTTTATCCATCCATCACAAACCTTAAACTCAGCTTTGACTGTATTTTTTTTTTCTGTGTTTCATCCTGTGATGTGGTTTGAGATGTTATTTAACCCCGGGTTTGGTTTCTGCCCAGGAGATGGCTTAGACAACAGCGTTGCATCGCCCGGCACAGGAGACGACGATGATCCAGACAAGGATAAGAAGAGGCAGAAAAAGCGTGGCATTTTCCCCAAGGTGGCCACAAACATCATGAGGGCGTGGCTGTTCCAGCACCTCACGGTAAGCCTTTCTTAGAGCGACACTTGCCTCAAAACAACCTCTGCAGAAACTTGCCCTAGGAAATAGCACACGCACATATTGGTCATCGGTAGCTGCTGTTTGAGCAAGTGAAAGGTTGATTTCAGCTTCCTGTCAGAGGGCCACACTGACCAGGTCAATCTCATCACTCTGGACTGTTTACTTAGCTCAGCTCTGCCTGTCATAAGAGCTAGCCAAGTTTGTTTGGGGTCCTGAACAGAGTTTCATTTGGGCACCTTCCGTCTTCTATCAGGCACCACAGCTCCAGTAATAACCTAACATTATTAATGTCATAGTTTACAACTACAAACAATAAACCAAGGGAAAAAAATCAAATATAATACATTTGGCTTCAAAACTGAATTCATATGTCCACTCAGAGATAACACATAACTAGCTACACCTCATCCGTCGCTTGTCAATACAAATAGCCACTCAGCAAGCTTTATGTGAGAGTGAATCTGGACATTTTGTAGGAATCTTTAGACAATTTACTAAAGTTCAAATTAAACATTAGCTAAAAGGAAGAAATGGGAGTTAAGGGATTTTGAACATGGCAGGGTTGCTGTTGTGATACGGGCTGGTCAGAAGGGATTTTCACACATACATTTTTTTGGGAACAGTTTGAAAAAGAGGAAATATTTACTGGGAATACCATCTTTGGATGGACAACACGCCAACCATTGAAGCTGATGGGCTACAGAGCCATTTGGTGGCACTCCTTTCTGCTAAGATGCTGTGTGAACTTTCATGAAAGCACGGATACAAGAATCCACTCTTTGTGCTGTTTGTCTGGGAGATCTTGGCAGAAAACATATAGGTGGTGTTTGTGTAGAACTGTGACAGGAGGTACTGAGTTATTTATCTAGGTATTCAAAGGAATAGACCCAATAATTAGAGAAAACTAAAATTCAGTTGAGTTGGACATGTTTAAATCTGATTGAATTGGTACAATTCTAATCAATTTCCTCCATTTAAATAAATTAAAAGTGCTTACCTTGTTAAAGAAACCAGTTTTGTTCCATCTGGATTTGGAGTTTCAAACTTCAAATATAATTTGATAAAACAGATAGTCTAGCACTGACTACGTTCCTGCTTATCTGTGTGTGCCTTATTAAAAGGGGTGGTCTACATTGTCCTCTCACCCTTGCTAATGTCAGGACATTATCAGAACATCAGGCTGTATTGATTTTGCTACACGGGTCAGATTTCAGAGGGAGGGGGCTGCGGTGAGACACAAAAGCTGCCTTAGCGTGTAACTCTCGGCCGCAGAGAGTAGGAGTGACAATGTGGATCGGTCGTGGGGAGGGAAAGGGGGGATGGGAAAAGTAAGGAAGTCTTAGTAAAGAGCTGGGGGTCTTACATATCACCCATGCAATAAAGAGGGTCAGGTGCCCCCTGTGCAAAGTGTAGAGCCCCCTACCCCTTTACCAAAGTGCCCACTCCCAGCTGAAAGCCCCCTCTACCCTGATTACCTAACCAAAAGCCCAAGTAATAAGCGGCCAGCAAATACAGCCTAATTGAAAGGGCTGTAAATCCATTACATATTGGTCAGGGATAATCAGGAGTACTTTAATCACTTTTATCTATTCAGGAGCAGTGAAGCTGCAACAGCAAAGCCCTGAGCCTTGCAGGCCTTAGCGGCTCCACCACGCCAGTCTGCACGCTTATTATTCTCATCATTATCAAAATGACTTCACAGCTGTTCACAGCGCCGTTGCTCCCTGACGGGAGAGCTTCTCACCGAGCTGCACTGATCAGACTTCATTCACACACCGAAGGCAGGGCTGAGGCTAAATGTTCTGTTGTTTTTTTTTTTTTTTTTTTTTTATTCTTATCTTCATAATCGGAGAAAAATGCTTTACGGATGCACAAAATGCTGAAAGATTCTGGTTTACTTTTACAGTTTCCATTTACAAAAAAAAAAAAAAAAAAAAAAAAAAAAACTTTTTTGAAAAAAAGCCGACAGATTTTTTTTAATTTTTTTTAAAAAAAAAAAAAAGGTGGTTAGGATTGGTTGGGGCAAAGCAGAGAGAAAGAAACATCTTTCAGAGACCTGTTTAATTCAGACCAAGCAAAGCTTTCAAGACCCTCTTTTGCTGCCCTTCGCCCCATTATAACATCTCCTTGCTTGTGGATGTTCTCCAATCTTTATTTGTTTCTTTTGTGCAAAGCCTGAGCTAGTCTTGTACAAATAATAATCCCTCCCTTTTAACCTGCTTTCATTTCTATGCCAAGGAAGAGGACTAATTGAATTATCCCCCTTCTCTTCTCACCATCACCATCCATTTCTCCCACCCATAAACTCTTACTCACACACACATGTACACGCACACACACTCATTAACCATTCTCCTTTCTTTTAATTTGTTAAGCAAATGTATTTGCAATAGCTGGATGCGTTTGTCCAAGGGTGAATTCTTGGGGACTTTGGCCCCTGAATGGCCTATAGCGGCATTCTGCCATTCACGCATTCATTAACTGAGGGGTGAGGAGTGAAAGGAGCGGCCTTGTATTTCTCAAACAGAGGGGGCCAGCATGAAGCTCCTCTTCCATGAGCCGCAGGGGTCTCCCTACATATGTTCTCAACATCCAGCCATTGTCACGTCTTCTGAAAGGCTCAAAAGGACAGGACCCCCCTTAACACACAAAAAAACAACACGGGCCAATAGTAACAACTGTTGGCTTTTAGATTCAGTATAACAAAATTGCCCTCTCCCTCTGCCCTCCCACTCTCCATCCAAAGCTTTGCTCTGACCTCACACTGTCTCTCTCTCTCTCTCTCTCGGGAGAAATCACAAGATTGTTTTGGTCATGACAGTCAAATTCGAGAGGCAAACACATTGCAGCTCGTTTACCATCAGTCTTACAGTGCCAGCATTCCAGCTGCGAGGAAAGTAGGGTTTTTACACCATATTGATTCCTCAAAACATGAACAGACTCTATAAAGAGGCTATGGTATCCCTGACCTCTTTTATATTGGGGCCACATGGACATGCTTTTGGGAGCAAGAAAGCTGGCAACCTTAAATGCTCTACATGTAACTGGCCAACGGTTGGCCAGATCGGTGGGCTTTGACTGGTAGAAGAGGGTCAGACCGTCTCTCCTCTTCCTTCTTGTAGTCTGCTTCTTGCTCAGCCTCTCTTATGCCACACCCCCTTCTCCCTTTCTCCCTCTCCATGAGTTTCTGGATGTCTTCCAGCCACATTAGGGGAAGGGAAATCCCAGACTGTTGGAATAAGCTTTTCAATACTACAGGGAGATTATGTTATCAGTAAGGTAAACTTCACTGTTAGGGGTAAAATGTTTTTGCTCCACTGCAAGAGCGTGGGCCAAGAGGGCACTGGATGGGTGTACAGTAGGAATGTAAGTTGGAAAAAAGGATGAAAGAGCAAGAGATTTAAGAAAGTGACGCTTAGGCTAAAGTAAACTCCAAAATTTACAATTAGCCCCATGGCGCCCTTGGCCTTTCCTTCCTACTCACCCTCTGCTAGCCTTTACTCACCCCAGTAAAGACAAAGGTCGGACCCGCAATGAAAACAGGAAGCACTCTGACACAAAGAAGCCAATCTGAGCTCTACTCCAATCTTTTTGACTCATGGGAACCCTCAAAGATGTATGAAAGTATAGGGGTACAGGAGAAGTTGAAACCCCTTGAAAGTTTCCCTGTGGTGCAGTGAAGTTGGGGAAGGCCTGTGCAACAGAGGAAGAGTGGTCAGTCAGATGAGTAAGTCCGTCGTCTTCTCAAACATCAAGCGTCTCAGGTTCTGTGCCGAGCCACCCTTTGGCCCGGGTGTTTGGGGAATTGCTGTTAAGCTGCTAAGCCAGGTGTATTGGTCCCTTGGGCTCCTTGAAAGGGAAGTGATATATCCTTTGGTAATTCAGAGTGTCTTTGGGCTGCGAAGTAGAACTAAATGCACAGATGATAACATTTAAGGTGGGATTCAGTAGCATTTCAGTGTACTTCTTTGTATGTCTTAAGTGCGACTATTTGCAGGGGACTGCCTCTTCAGCTGTGTTTTTACTGAGCTTATGAAATAAAAGTAGTCACGATCAAGTTGCAAACTCTGCAGAGCTCGAAATGCCAGTGCAACAATACAAATCCAGAACTCTTACCTCCATCAAATACATTTGATCACAAAAGTGAGGACCTTTGGGGAGTTGAGTTCATTGTGCTGCAAACATCATTAGATACACTACTGACAGTGCCCCCCCCCTCCCTCTCACATACACACTAACAACCCAAGCCCAACATAGCATTAGTCTCCATGACAACAGGGTGTCATCGTCAGGTCGAGCCCTCCTGTGGGAGCTGCTCTCACTGCCACCCTTTATAGGCACACATAAAAGAGTCGGTAAGGGTCATTCACAAGACATGGGCACAGGCAAGGCCAAACCCTGGCAACGGATGTTTGCTCCATATGATAAACAAGGGTGCAAGTCCATCCCCTAAAAAAATGAGAAAGAGTATGTTGTTTGTGCAGACTAAACATTCAGTCCTGTTGTGTCCCCACTTTTTATTTTTTTTTGTTTAAGCTCCTCTAGTCCTGCTAATCCTTGTGGGTTGTTCCAGTACGAGCAGTCCCTAACTGGTGGAGACACACATCTGCAAATAGTTTGAAGTACCCAACTCTATTTTTCTTCAACTGCCAAAAGCTGTTTGTTTTATATTTGTTCTTCTTTTGAATACACACGATGGAACATTCTATTTTTTTATGTAAATAAATTTCTATTTTTTTTTTCTTCTAATCTTGTGTAATTACATTTATTTGTATATTTTGTTGAAATGACATTACTCTTTAAAGCCATCAGCTTAGAAAAGAACTTACTCTAGCCTTTACGTCTGTGATTGAGATTCAGTTTGCTTTTCCACCTCCTTAGGTTGTTTTGAGTTTGGATGAAGAGAGTTTGGAGACAAAGGAGAGGCAGGGAGTGGGTTTAGGGATAAGAGCAAGCATGGGGAGGGGGTAAAGAGGGGGCTC